ACAAATCAAGTTTCTCTGGACTAAGAGGGTGGAGCACAGGAATGACTTACTAACTGAAAGGCTTGGACACCCACTTGGGAGGGAGGAGTTGTTTCTGGTTTCTGTTCTGTTTCTGAATTCAATGTAATCATCAAATACTTTGCTTATTTCTGCCAGAGTGACTGAAATTTGCCCATTTACAAATGGTAGCATGCAGGTCCACTCAGAAGTAAGACAGGTAGAGGCAGATTGCTCAGCAGGACATTTCTGGGACGTGTCTATGCTGCCATTCTGTGGGCCCTGAGTACAACAATATGCACAAGGCACAGTTGGAAGGATTAGATACATTGTGAACAAGATTTTACCCGTCTCCTAGGATTTCATGGTTGTTATTTGACTAACCATGTTCTGTAGTTTGACAATGAGATTAGAGGGTGTTTTGTAATTCTGAAAGGCAAAGATTTTGCAGGACAGATCAGTCATCTTTGCTATGACTTTTGGCAGTGTTTTGTGGAATTACTTTGCATATGAATTGTACCAGCTCTATCTCTTGTTCAGGCTTTCATTTCAGTGGGTACATGTTGCTGGCAAGGAAGTCAAGAAGGTGTATCAGAGGGAATGATCTTGTTACATATAACTTTATGAACAATCACTTTGATTATTTACCTTAATGGTGATGCTTGTGCTCTTCCAGAGACCATTCTTCTTCAGTTGGTAGAGAGCAAAATATGCATCACAAAATAGTTAAGAGTAGTTGCCACAATCATGAGTACATCATAGGTTTAGTTCTTGCTCCATTGTGCAGGAAATTTTAAAAAAGAAAATAGTAAAAAATGAAGATATCCCTAAGTGTTTTGGCCACTCAGGCTGTTGGATAGAGAAGGAGAAATATACCTCTGTTCTCCAGTATGTGAAACATGATAAATATGTTTGCAAGTGCTTTCTGTATTTAGGCCTACAGGTGAAAAAAAAAATACAGGGGAATACCCTGAGAATCCAAGTAGATCTTGGGTTATTGAACAATTGTGACGTATTATGACACAAGCAGGTTTATATATTCCTGTTCACAAAAACATAGGCCCAAGCAATGCTAGGGCAGCAGCTCAAAGGGGATTTTGGGAAGTTGGTAGCAAATAAACATCATTCAAGCTCCTAAATGGAGACCTGGTTTTACTGATTGAGCCTCAGGTGCCTCCCATAGTACTCAAGTAATGGTAGGCACAGACACACTGGGAAGCTGCTGTGCTCTGGGTGGGACAGCACAAATTCTGTCCCAGCTGTTGCCAAGGGCCTGCCGTATTACTTTATACTTGCTGGTAGTTTATTTCTCCTTCAAAAGCAGGAAAACAGGGAGATTTCTGGACCTTTATCATGTTTCCTTCTCTAATTGCTGCATAAGCAGTTTGTCACCCAAAATAAACTGCAAAAACTTGCTTGCCCCAGGGGAGAGGATTCATTTGAGCAGGCATCATCTGTGTGTGCAGCTGGTGCATTCAAATTCATCCTGTGTTCAGAATCAAATTGTGTGCTATAAGAGTTTTGCAAATAGCTTGTAACATGTTTATGAAAGGAGGTTACATAGGTTTCTTGTTTTAAAACCCATTTCTTGGTTCATCCCTGGGGGAGAACACAGCAATTCTGCCCCTGTGCTCGTGCTGTTTATCTTTTGCTAAACAGAGGAAAGCAGATTATGGCTTTTAAGAGCTAAGCTTCAGCTTTTCTGCAGGTCTGTGTGAGGGGGAACACGTTGCTTTGATGCCTTGAGTGCAAAAATGTTCAGCTTGGGAGCATGTCTAAATAAGCTTAATACACTTCCACAGTCACATAGGTAACTATTTTATTTCACTTTAAGTTTGCCAAAATAATGCATACCAAGCAGAAGCAAAAGGGGCCATGCAGCCTTTTGTAAAGTGGATTGGTTTAAATTAAGTTATTGCAGCCTTTTTTAATGCAGGCAAAGGCTGAGGTAACTGCTGTTATCAGCTGGAGAAGGGAGTTGTCAGTATCAGTGTACCTTGCCAGCAGCATGGCTGACTTTATCAAGAAGGGAAGGACTGAGGATTAGAAGAGTCAAAGAAGCTGCACTTCTTCCCACAGCTGTTCTCGTTACTTCAGGAGGGGCTAAACTCAAATCGATTTTTGTCCAGATAGACTTGGAATATTGAACTGTGAGAGGCTACACTAAGCAATTAATTGGAAGGTATTTTTAAGAATTCCCTTCTCAAATCTAGCTCTGAAGTGAGAAGTTCACAGCTTCTCATACATTCCATTCAGTCCAGGAATGAATATTACAGATCACTGCCTTGTAAAAGCACTTCTCCTGGCAGAGCAGTCAGACCATTCTCCTGATAGCTACGGTTACTCACTACCAGTTTGAAAACAAGTCAGCCTGCAATTTCTAGTGCTGATAGTTCCAGCAGGGCTCTTGTAGCCACTGAAAGGAAGCAGTGACAGACCATGCACTATTCTTGAGGCTTTCACTTGGCCTGACATAGAAGAATTCACATTTTTTCAAAGAAGTGTCCTGTGGCATTCAAAACAGCTGTGTTGCTGAGCTTTAATTGTCTCATATTCTTAAAAAATAAACTTTTACAAACTTCTGTTTCAGTTCTTATTACTTTTTTTTTAACGGATCAGTCTAACTTCTGCCTGCAAGCGCTGTTAAACTGCTAATAAAAGAGTGCAATATGTTAGCCAGCAACTTCTCTTTAGCTCACAGAAAATAATTCAACAGTTCCTTTTCTTAAGGCACTTGCTTCTACATTCCCAGAAATATTTCCATCATATATATTTTTGTATTTACATTCAGTTTAGCATAATAAATACCTCTTTAAGGTGGCTTTTCCATTTTAGAGAGAATACATAATTGGACCATACACTTGCATTATAAAATAACTAGAAAAGACAGTTTGTGTGCATGTAAGGTGTGTCTTTGCTTAATCTTATCTAGTAAACAGTTTTCCAGTACAAGATTTGGGGGTTTCATATCTTGTTTACATTCCCATAATGCATATCCCAAGATTTCCTTAGCATGTGCAAAGGATGACAAATATCAGTACTTCATACAACTATATTTAATAAGTTATTACAGAAAAAAATAAAGTTCAAACTACAAAGTTTAAGCAGTTGTAAGCAATAGCAGCATTGAGCTCCATGTTTAGTCACAGTACTGCAGTTCCATACAAGCATTAGTCCAAGCCAAAAAGGAAGAAGCCTTGTTAGAATTACTAGCAAAAAACAATCTAAGAGAACATGTAATAAAAGATACAGTACATTTAAAATTAGTTGAAAAACAAGTACAGAGATCTTAGCTGTGAATGCTCTAAAAGTTATGTCCATTAGTTTGACAGTAAAATTACAAATATCTAATACTTTATACCCCAACAGAACTACATCCAGGAAAGAAAAAAGAGCAAAAATTATCTCGTTAGCACCCTGGTTTTCTACTTACTGATGAACTTTTTGTCTTGTAAATTTGAGTTGTGTCAGACTTAGGTGACCAATGTGATTTCTGACCAGCTACCCATTTGGGGTATAGAGTAGTCACTAACATGTATATAAAATACTCCGTGGTATGATAGAACACTATAGCAGCAGAGATTAAGAAGTTTGTCTGTTTAAAAAAAAAGAAAGAAAGGAAGGAAAAGAAAAAGGGTTTAGCTGACATCATACAAACCAGCATAAAAGCAACTACATACAAGCCAGATTAAACAAAAGAGACATTTCTACAAATCTGTGACTAATCTTTCACTCATACCTTGCAAGTAGAGATGTCACAATACTGAAATATTAACATGGGAGCTTTTCCCAGTTAAGCGCCTTTTTTTTCTTTTTTTTTTTTTCTTTTTTTTTTTTTTTTTTTTTTTTTTACTACTCTAACAGATAGTGAAATCAGCAAAGTTATTTGCTAACTGCATATTTGCAATACAATTTGTTTTAGCCCATGCCTTGCTAGCAGGCTATAAAATACAAGCATGTCGGCAGAAATATAAGCATAAACTTTGTACCACTTAGCAGGAATTTTTTATTCCCTTTTCATTCCTTAATCTCCTTTGTTTGCAATTTGTGTACATTCCAACCAGTAGTACCTAATTTGAGTCTAAATTTTACTTCACTATTTGATCTAGTCTATACATTACTTACAGAACTGAACACACAGAGGATACACAATAGACCAACTCTGGGCATATTTCTTCCCACAAGTCACGGATGAGCCACTCTAACACTCGAGCAGAAGTTAAGTCTAAAAGGTCATCAGCAACTTGTGGAAGCGAGAGTTTTGTCTAGAGAAAGTCATTGTATGCCCTGTTTACGCAACACCAGTTTTAGTCTGGATTGTTTCAGGTGCCAGAACAGAGTCACTGGCTTCAGGAAGGGGTTTCTTCTGGCTGCATAGGGAAACAAAGGTGATGGAAATGGAGGTGAAAAGCGTTTGATACTGGCCCTTGGTATTGCCAATACAAAAGAAAAAAAAGGACAAAAGACACAAAAGAGGCAGAGAAGAACGTAGAAAGACAAAGAAGCTGAACGGATGTTCAGACGTGGTGGCAATATGAGTTACTGCATTGCTACCAGGGGATGGACAGAGAGTGTTTTGCATTAACTTGGCAGCTCCCACCCATGTGGGGTGGCTGGGTTAGGAAATGCTGTGGGCACCGACAGTCTGCTCCACACTGCCACTGAGAAACGCATGCAGAGAGGGACTTGTGCAGGAAAGGGGCAATTTCATCAAATAAATGACACGGTGGCAAAATACAATGAAGAATATATATTTTAGGAGGTTCACTCTAAGGCTATTGAAAAGAGAGTTTATTGAGTTCATGACAAGAAAAGTAATGAAGAGTTATGCTGAATGGGCAGGGTCAAAAACCCATTGTTCAATAGATTTAGTTCCTTATAACGGCAATAGTATTTCATCAACACTGGTGGTGTATAAATCTAGACAGCGAACTGGTACTGTGACATCCCTATTATCTCCCTAAATCATTTTGATAAAGGAAAAGGCTTTTCAAAATATCACGTTTTTTCTGCTTCATTCTGTCATTTTATTGCCCAATTCTTTGTTACAATTTTCCAATCACTTTACATAACCAACCATTTTCATCATTGCCACACTATTGTAAACCACATCAGCAAGTTAATACATAAAGCTTTGCATTTCAAAAAACTAGACACTTTAGTAACAATATTACAAAGATTTTAGCTTCAAAAATAACTGAAAATGAAAAAAATAAACTTTTAAAGAATCAGCATCATAAAATTAATTTATTCCAAGTAAAAATACAAAATAATATTAATGACATTGACCAGATATGAAAGTCTCTCCCAGAAACAACTATATTAATGGTTGAGAAAGCACTCCTTAAAGAAAATACGAAATAAAAATGAAAAATATGTAAATATGTTTAATTTTTTTCTTAGCAAAAAATCTTTCTAAAAATAACAATGAAAATTTGTCTCAGTACAAAGGCTACATTACTATTGAAAAAATACCAGCATGAAGAAAAGGTACATATTTGACAGTAGAAAAATGATTTTAGTGAATCACAATGTCTAAAGTCTGCAATGAAAATAAATCTGCAATAAAGATTTATGCCTTTTTTCTTTTCATTTTTCTTTTTTTTTATACAAACAGTACAAACAGTATTGCACATAACAACAAATAGTCGAGGTTAGGTTAGCCTTCAAAAAAATCGACTAGTTCAAGTCTCACATCAGAAAAGGCCACAATAGGACCTGTTGTACCCAGGGGCTTCTTAGTCAAGTTGCAGTTCAGAACTCCATATTTTAAAAAATAACTTTTTTTGAAGGACCCTCTTTTAATATAACATATTAACAACTCAGGGGCACATTCATTTACAAAACAAAAGGGAGCATGTCATAATTTAATAAACTAAAAAAAGTTCTCTTTAAAAAAATACAAACAGAAGAACTCTCACAATTCTGGTCAGTCGTGCATAATCACACTTGATTATAAATATACAAATTAAGGGAAAATATTTTTTCACCTTCTATTCACAACTTTCAGCACCAAATGGAGTTTGTGTTTACACCTGTTCTTTATGATGATTTTGTTTCAGATTTAATCCAACATTATGCTATATTGTACATTTTCCAGCTTCTCTCGCTCTCGCTCTCTTTCTCTCTGGGAGTATTTTTCTACATGAAAGAGGGGTATTCTTCAAAAAGGTTTACTTCTTTCACATAATTAGGTAGACTTCTGTAGGTTAGCTATGATCTTTAATATTACAGTTATAAAGCTCTAACTTCTTCATTTTCAAAAAAACTCAAATAAGCATGAAAAAAATAAAGTTACCCATCTGTTAAATCATTTTTCTTGCAGAATTAAATTAATATATATTTTTCTGAATAAACTTACTTAGAAAATATCATTTTCTTTCCTATATTTCAAAATTGAGGTATTGCAAAAGATCATGTCAGTCAGAAAGCATGCCTTTTTCTTTAAAAAAAATCATCAGCCAACTGTTGAAAACTGTCTAGATACAAAAAGTAGTGCATAACAAAATGTCTTGTACAGATGAAAAAAAACAAAAAGGACACCTGGGCTGGGAAAGCAATATCACAAAACCGCCCAGAAGTAACTTCAAAAGGGATAATTATAATAAGCATTTTAAACCAGTAAAAAACTATTTTTTCTTTTTTTTTTCTCCAAAAACAGAAAAAAATCCTTTCAAAGCCAATACTTGCAACTAAACATCGGGAAAACCAACTTACTAAATTAGACACAAAGAAGGACATCACAACAAACAAAACCCAGAACATTTAAATCTACTATGCGGTGTCATATCCAGTCAGATTGTCCCCAGAACTGCAAAAACAAAGGAGGAAAAAGAAAAAAAAATAGTGTACACATTCTCACAATCATTAGTATACCAAGTGTGTTTATATTTATATGCTATCTGCAGCCCCATAGTTCATGCTAAAAAAATGTCCACTGTGTTAGCAGGTCTTAATTGTATTCAAGCTTCACAGGATACATCCAGGGATTAGAGAGATAACGCCACATCCACAGAGCAGACATCTCATGTTACTTTAATATGCAGACATTTCTTTAGCACCACTTTGTTTCCTAACTTTCTTAAATGTGCCTAGGTTAGTAGTTTGACAGACTAGCTAATCGGTAGTGTATGTACGCCAGCATGAGCTCTTTGGTTTTCTGGACAAGGTCTGCAGCTACGTAAATGATGCAAGCATTAGGGAAGAGATTGTAACTAAGAGCTCATTTCTGTTTATGTACCTGTTATGAACTGTCAAAAATGTGTTAATGTCAGATACAGAGGCTTTAACAGTTAAGTTTGATCACAGTACTAGACATAATCACTTTACTATATAAAATAAATTGCACGATATATAACAGAGCACCGCAAAGTACTTCATCTACCATCCACAAATTTTTTTTAAGAATATCCTACAGCTAGTTTTTATATTTGTTGTAATATAGGTCATTCTGTAATGGGCTGATCCTAATTTCAGAAGCATTACATTTACTGAGGCATGCCTTCCTCCAGTCAGTAATCAAATTTTTTTTGTTACTGAGCATTTTGTAGCCTACGTAGATTCATAATTTGTGCATTGTGGGCAAGTTTTATATTAGACATATATAAAATTTATTGCATGCAGCAACCTGATTAAGTAAACATGCAGTCAAAAAATATTGACCTTCCTTGGAAGCTTTTCTGTATGCTATACTGATCTCCTTTCAGCAGCCATCACTATTTTAATCACATATTCATTTTTAATTGATACCCTAGCCTGAATAGAGTATTATGGTATTAGTAATACCATTTTAATAGCAGCAAAAGCTATTGCAGCATACATTTACATAACACTAAAAGACCTAACAGAACAAAACAAAAAACCCAACAAAACAGAACAAACAAACAAACAAACAAAAAAAAAACCCTCAGCAAAATAAAAGAAAAAAGTCTGATCCAGCTTATGAGGTATCATCCTTACAAGTCAAAATTGAGAGCAACTAAAGGCTTATTTTCTTTAAGGGTTATTACTATTCTAAATGACCCAAACTAATGATTGCTGAATATCTGTTTAAGTTTTTGCTACATCTGCCACCTACTCGTGAATATTACCTTTGGTAAGTCATCTGCTAGGGGCAAGTCTAAATTTCTGAAAATAAGTGCATGCTCCAGTTTAAAAATAAAAATAATTATAATTACAATAAAAAAATCTTCATCACATACGCATCAGCCCAGGAAGACTGATGAGAATGGCAGTCTACATAATGTCACTAGTGACAAGTCTTGTGTAGGAAATTAAGGTACCAAGCAGATGTTTGTGTGAATCAAAGTGCAAAATCAGTACAGTTACACTCTGCCGGTTTGTATTATACTGGACACTGAGTTCAGTAATGTGACTGTAAATAATAATAATAGTAATAAAAAGACCCATATCTTCATTAAAGTCGAGGACGAATGCACAGATTTCCAGAACACTAAGCCCTGAGGCAGCGCTCTCTTTTCACTCAATTTTATTTACTCCAGTACTTCTTGCTGGGTGCGGCCGGGGTTCAGCTCCAGCGGAACGGGACGTGGCGGGGCCGGTCACCTCCCTCCTTTACCAGTGGTTTGTGGAACTCCCGCCCAGCACGAGAGTGTATGCTGGCCCAGCAGTATTCACAGTAATACTGCAAGCAGGTAACATTGGCACAAAAGAATGGAGCAAATTTTCCACCGCAGCGAGTGCCCTGGCATTCGTCACACATCTGATCATCCAGCACGTATGGCTTCACTTCCACCTGCACCAGGGACAAGAAAACAACTGTAAGAATGTTTCATAGTTTCGCTAAGCAACAACACAAACCCCAATATTTTAATTCTGTCTCTTCTGTGAAGGGTTTCAGCTGATGCAGGATTAATCCAAGAGGTTGGTAGTTAAATTTTCATACCATGCGCTTTACCTGTCAGAAAACCTCAAGAAAGAAGGGTGTGCTTTCGTAACTAATCAATATTCCTTGGAAAAGCTGGGTCTGGGAAAGCACTAATATGGAAGTACAGTAAAAATCTCCAAGGATTTTCCACTAAGAAAGCTCCAGGAATCTGAATAGACTAACAACAGGGGCAGGCCATGTGAGCAGCATTTAGGAAGAAAACTTATAACGAACAAAATTATATTTCTAAACTTCAGAGGTCTAATGAGTTTCAGAAGTTTTTTCCTCAGAAGATTTTTTTTGTCTGTTTTTTTGTAATTTGCAAAATGCAGAACCAGACTAACAAGAAATTCAAATGAAACAAAATTAAATGCACTTGTATTAATACTCTCCATTTTGTTGGCAAAATCACTATCTAGAGATTTTTCGCTCTTGAGGTGGAATAAAATTTCACTGTAGTTCCAACTAGGACCTTGCCATCAATTACAAATAGTCTGGAGAGCTGCTGACTTTAGTCCTACACTCAGCTGTAAACAACTTAGGGCTGGAATGCCTTTTGTTCTTAAAGCATTTGTGCCAAACACAGCAGGACTGATGCATGATTAGGCACTTGCAATAATGCTATTACAGACATTGAATATGTTCCTGTGAATTGTGCCTACACATTTAAATTGAGTGTTCATTCATCACAGGGAAATCATGAGTTCATGCATGTCTAATTCTTATGGCTCTCTGATGCTATTTATAAAGGGGTTTAAGTACAGTCAACTGCACTAGAAAAGACAGAAAAAATTGAAGTATATATTTATTATAAATAATTTTGCTGTAACTGTGCAAGTGCTAGTCCAGCACAATTTGTATATTGCGAGGAAAACCTGAGTCTAGTAACAACACTTAAATACACAGAGATTTAAAGAAACGTAGCATGAGATGTTAAGCTGAAAGTCAAGAAACATTCTACAAAAAACTTTATGCTGAATTTACTTCTGCTTATCCCGATCACACTTCAATAAATTTTACTCCTTTGAAGTAAAGCTTCTATAGTGAGTTGTATTTCTTGCCTAAGGAACAGCTTGGGCTGCCAATCTATTTTTTAATTACACCCTGCTACTAGTATTGCATGGAACAAGTCTGAGGAACTGCCATTTTGCATATCAGATGCCATACCACTAAAATTAGAAGCATCATGTAAAATAAAACAGCACTGTCTCAAATGAAATTGGAAGAAAGCAGGTCCAATGTCCAGCACAGCTCTAGATCCCCACCTACTCAAATTTCCCAAGCATGAATTGTGAAGGTCTCAAATAGAGTCTCTTTCTGTCTCTCTCATCTTTTCTTGCATTGGTTACTAGTGAAATAATTTTAAGAAAGTTGGCTGTGCAGTTCAGGGATTTGAATAGATTAGATTAAAATTTAAGGACTCATTAAGAAACTTCATACTGCTCCAAACTCACACATAAATCTATTTTTGAAATAGACAAAAGATAACTAAATAAACTTAAATTATGAGTCCACCAAATGAAAAAAAGAACAGACTGATGAAAAAAATTACTAGCTAGTGACCTTTTGTGGGTTTAGCCTAAAGCTTAGAAGGCCCCGTATAGCAAGCATGGCTGATATATAAATCTCAAAGGGTTCAATGTGTAATTAAGACTCCAAAAGTAATCTTCTTAATCTCTCTGTAAGATTTTTCAGAATCTAATGGACAAGAAATGCTTAGGAATAGCCTTGTCTTAGTTAATGTAATATGGTGTAAAGCACCATACACAAATTGTTTGAGGACTTATAACTCCATCACCTCCTCAAAACTGACAAAAAGTATAATTCAGATTTGTAAAGACAAAGTCAAAAGTTTGAACTTTGCAGCTGTGCAGATTTATATGCATATTGCACACAATAGACACACCTAGTACCTGTTAAACTGACTTCTGAAGAAATCATTTACACCAGATTAAGGAAAAAACAAGCCATCCCTGTCAGAAAAATACATAGCAGCAGTCCATGCCATGTGTCCTTTTGAATAATTCTAAATGCAGAGCTCTCAAAACAAGGGTGTTGTTTCTATGTGTAATCAGGAGGTGAAGACAGAAGGTCTAAAGGAAAAAAATTTGGAAAGTAAGTAATGCTTTCTTTTAATGTGTTCAAGTCAAATTTCAGTGAATACTGTAACTTCACTCCATATTTGAAAAGCCCTTTAGCGATTTCATATGGACTGAAAAAAATAATCTCATTTCTCACCCTTCTGCCTATCAAGCACCTCTTGGTATTTGGTTTTAGTTAAATAATTCTGAAGACTTTTGAGGTCAGCATTACCTGTTTTAATTACCATAAACCTGTCCTTTAAGGACCTCAACTCTAGACCTACACTACTGACAGAAAATGACCTAATAATAGCAAAACTCTCAGAAACTATAAAAGTAGTCACTAAACTAAAAGCCACTGATGCACAATGAGCAAACATCTAAAGGAGGAGAAAGAAGCCAGGAAATGCTATGGAATTTGACCTATGGAATTCAAAAGAGAACCAAGGACTAACGAGCTTACAATCAGCTATTTGCTGGGTTTAGCACTAAACCCAGTATGTTTAGAGTATTTTTTCACTCTGCTTTAGAGGCTTAAAAAAAGCTTTTAAAAAATTGACAAATGTCATCTGAAGAACAGAACTTAATGTTCTCCAACACAATTCCAATAAGGATTTGTTAAATACCTGTACAGTCTGGTAACAGCCATTCTGCTCCATGCTGCTTTACTTACCCGTTTATCAATGTCATTGTGTTGGAGCTGGACAAAGCGAGCACTGATAGCAGCAATATAGCTCTGCTGATTGGAGAAAGCCACTCTGCCAGCACCTTTGGGGTACTTCAGCTCTGGGTCTGTATCAATGCCAGCATAGCAGACACCTCCATATAAACGGTCCATAATCATTGCCAATTCAACTGCAAGAAGCCAATTTTTAAATATAACAGATTTAACATAAATCATGGCGTTGCATTTGGATTGTTGCATTTAAAAAAGCACCATTTGCCTTATCAGATGTGTCTTCCAAAGTCTAAAATTCCGAAGTGAAACACAGATTCAATCAACCTTACATGAATTATAGTAAAACATAATGGCAAAAACCAGAATCTGTAAAAAGTTGATGTGGCTGAAGTGTGGAAAAAATGCAGAGTTATGCTGTTAAAGTAGGTATCAGATGAACAAGAATTTACAGTATTGCGTATTAAAGCTCTAGTACTTGGTAGGCTTTTTAATGCTAGTTTATATCTAAGATCACTTAGGGATATTCCTGGTTTTAAAATCTGATATTTTCCCCTAAGTACTAAGGTTCAAAAGATATCAAAGATGCATTTCACATTTGAAACAAAAATCTGTGAAACACCCAAAGTTCCTGCAGCTAAAGCAAGCCTATATTATAGATGCGATTTAAAATAGTATTTTGGTAGAACATTATCTTGGTTGTGGAGCTTTTGAAATGGTTTGTTGCTTTTCATGTTATTAACAGTAACTCTAAAGAAGTTATAAATATCATTCATAAAATCAGACAGGTTGAGTGCACGGCTGGGACACAAACAGAAGGAAAGTTAAGGGAAAGAACTGAAGGAAATAGTAAAGAGGCTGAAGAAAGCAGGGAAGAGCCATGTAAATTATGCAAGGTTGTATGGCCACTGAGCCAAGCTCTCTGTAAATCCCCATAGGCCAACAAATTTGTCAGATGGACAATGCAAGAACTGAGACCTGTACAGGCCCTGCCAAGTCAGCCATTTTCTAGTGCTAATATGTGAAAACACTTTCTGTAGCAAGTTACCATTTAACTACCCAAAATAAAATTTAAACTCACAAATACTGAACATTTAAATTCCCCTAGTTGTCCCAAAATTAGTAAATTGACTAGGTATATGTGTTTGTATAAATCTGTGTGCAGGGAAGACTGTATGCTAACTTGTCCATTTGCAACAAGCAAACCAATATCTGACTCATTCTACCAAACCAGGTGATACTTCTGCTCCAAAGAGTAAGGAAAACCTACCCTCATAATGTAGTGATTAATACATTCTTCTGCTTTCTAATGATTTGGAATCATCACTTGGGTAGTGATCTCAGAAGGCAACAGTACAGAATAAACATCATGAATACAATTACTACAGTAGCTCCACTAAGTTAGTCTTGCCAATAGAGAAAGAATATATAGGATTCCAGGGTAAGGAAACCAGGCAGTGTCCAAATATCTTAGGAAAAACTTCTTTACCTGATATTTAAAGCTGCAAACAAAGAAAAAAATGAAACTATTTGTCTGCTTTGGAGAAGTTACCTATTTAAAGGCATCAGTTTTCAAATGTAATCCATTTCAAATGTGATCTATGACAGGCCAAATGGCATACAGTTTTACAAAGGCATTCATTAGGAATGAGCTAAGGTTTAATTGTTACTATTTACATAATTACCACCTTACAAGTTGGGCCTTATTTTAAGACGGTGAGGAAAGTGAAGGCTGCCAAGAAACATGGAATAAGAGAAATCTTACTGTCATCAATGGCTGGGGGATGTTGGTATAGCTTCCCAAAAGATTTAGGATTAGGCAAAATCCAGTTCCAGTGTGCTGGAAAGTGGCTGCTGAAGGAAACTGAGGGCTACAAGGAAAGTCTTTCTTCCAGACAGTGATGGAGTGTAGTGTCTACTACAGTTTCCCAGGATTAGGATTAGGATTGAGAGGATGAGAAAGACAAACCGTGCAGCTGCCTTGGAGTCAGGCTGGAAAGGGAGTATAAACAGAAGTGAGGGCTGCCAAAAGATCTGGCTAGGAGAAATGTTTTAAATTGCTTCATGACTCTGTCGTTGGCTCACCAAAAATGTCAGAATTTAGAAGAAAGAAATTAGGGTTGAGCTACAATTGGGACCAGTGCTCAAATGGGGCCTTCAAAACAAAATGAGGACTGCCAGGAATCCTGGGCTGGGATAAACCTTTCCTCTGGCCAAAAGCTAAGGAGTCTTGTCCATGGCTCTGCAAATAAAAGTGAAGAAAAAGAGCTAAGGGTGAAGAAAAAAAAATTGAGAGAAGTTACATTAGGAGTAAGTCTGGAAAATGCTCTTCCACGTGAGGCCACCAAGAGACCTGGGCTGGAAGAAATTTTTTGGGACAATAGCTAAGAGGCCATGTCCATAGCTCCATGGAAGAATTAAGATAAGGGTTGAATAAAAGGGAAACAGAAGTCATAGGGCTGAGGTTGGAATTGGTTTGGAAAGGCTCTGCTCTTTGTCTTCTAGTCAAAGGAAAAGGAAACTTGTCTGCACCTCAGCAAACAAATCAGGGTTCAGATTAAGATGGTCTACATTACAAAAAATCAGCTAAGTTCTAGGATGTTATGCAAAACTGGGGAAAACTCTTTCTACTGGCAATCCTAATTAGTAATCTATTTAAAAGATAAAAAATGTTCACTGTATTTTGCAAACAGGAAGAGACTCCTTGTATTAGAAAGCAAGCTGTGATCTTTGGAAAACACAGAGTCCATTTTCTGATCTCTTACAGATGCTATTTATCTTTCCTCATTTTTTCTACTTAGTCTGCTTCATGTCCTGTATTTCCTTCTACTCACCAGCTCGGAGAGGCCGTGGAACTCCTCCAACAAAGATTGTTTTTCTTGGATCCAAAGGCTGAGACCCATCCATCACAAAGTCACTGTCACTTAGGTTCCAAGGTCGAATTTGCACCTGTATTAAGGATCATTTTTAGCACAGGAGCTTGGCTACTTAATTAAAATTAAGAAAAACTGGCCAAATCTTCCTATAATTAAAAACAAAATTTGAACATTTCAAAAGCAGTAAGTTGGTTTTATAAGAACCAAGACAATTTGAGAACATACTTATCTAAGTATCTGAAAGAAGGGGGACAACTCATTTATCACCTCTAGAGGCCAGGCTTGAGTTAAATGTCCTCATGACAAACTCCTACGCTCATTAATTCCCTGCCCCTAATCGCCATCATGGGAAGAAACCTGTGAAAGGACTTTCAGAACATTTTACCACATATGTGCATTTACAGTTGCAGTTTGGGCTTCTGGCTTTCCTGAAATGACACACAATGATCCACAAATTTAAAAGCACTGATAGGAGCTGATAAAATTAATTTCTGTGCTTGGATACAAAAGGAGTTTGTATAATATGTGAATGTCTTTTTCTGTTGAGCAGCAAGCAACACAGCTGATAAGAAATCTTTAGATTAAACAGAAAAAAAGCTGCTCAGAAGTTACTTAGATAAAGCTGTTCATCAATCCATTTTTTTGATCCTAGGAATCATACAACCTGCTCACTGTTCTGCAGTCCTGGGTTGTTCATTCATCTCTGCAAGATTTTTAATAATACTTTTAAAAGGCAGCACATTTTTTATCTTATCTTATTTGTCTGCAGTTTTCACCTCAATTGTTTATCTCTATAGGCACAAAAAAGGACCAGCATTAAAGAATGTTAGAGATGTGAACAATAAAAACAGGCTACTGTATGTCTTCTATTCTGGTACAGCTGCCTGCAGTGATTGATTTTACCCCATAGTTTCTATAAGGTAAATGAGGCCTAAATTATAAGTTGATTAGCTATTGAATGCATAAAAAATAATAATTAAAAAACCTAACAAAATACAGGGGATATTTAATGCTATCTCGATCTTAACTTGGCAGGGTTAAGTTTCTTCATTTAATCACATAAGGCTTTCTTCTCTCTCAAATCAAATAGATGAAAAATTACCATTCCATTGTTTTACAGCTAACACTGTAAAAGGATGCACACTCCTAAAGCATACCAGGAGTACCAAATATAAAATTTAATTGAACATGGCATTTATCAGAAAAAATTAAATGTTAAAACCATGTTATACTGATACAGGAAGTCAATTCAATGTAACAGCAAGGTCAGAAACAGGAAACAACAAATAATTAACTCTAAGTATTGTTTATGTATTTATTAACTGAAAACAGTAACAACAAATGGGTTAGCAACCAGCATAAGTGTCATGGCATAAGCTACTTACTGGTTTATCTTTGATTGTGGGACTTGACACACATAGGTAAAGTTTTCCATCTTCTTCCAGACAGGCATCTATGAGAGCTTGTACAGAGCTTTCTTCCTGGAACAGCAGAAAGGCGTAACCTTGGAAAGGACAAGGGCACAAGAAAGAAAAATAACAGATTAATTTATAGAGCATTTTTAAACAAACAAGCCAGAAAAGTGGGTAAAATACACAAATTACAAATAACTGTTGAGGTTGGTAGTTTGTTTTCATAAATTAAATTCACTGAACATATCCCCTCATTACAGAGCCACACAGTACTGATTTCAGAATAGAGATGAGTATTTGCTGCACATGAGGATGTTTATTTGATTAATTAATTATTCTGAGCAGTGAGAATATAGGCTGGTGAATGAGGGTTTCTATTACCCAACAACTGCATTGGAACTATTTATCAGTGGTATCTGCTGGTATCAGTGATTAATATCTTACAATGGAGGCACAAAATGTCTACTAACCATATACAATTAATAAACTCTAGAAGAAAGGACTAAGAAAGTGAACAGGTAAACAGGAAAATATTCTATGCATACATACCTAAATATGAAAAAAATTGTTCACTAAAAACAGCAAGCCCAGTGAAAAAGAACAACATGCTTTGTGCTTTATTATTAATAAAAGACCTGCTGTTGTTACTTGTATTTAAATAAAGCAGTTCAAAAGAAGAAAGTCTACTAAAATTGTTTCATATGATTCAGAATTTTAGGGCTTTACATTAGCCAGTATACCTAAGTGAGTAGCACTCAGTGCTCTGCTGAATGCAGCTGCCAAGAAAACCTTCTTGAGCTTATTTAATGTTGTTAAAGCTGAATGAAGAGTTGACCCAAGCAGCCCATGCTTCTGCTGCCTGAGAAGTGAAACTAATACAGCACTCTGCACTAAGCAAAGCCAGGTAACAACAGGCTGCTGCATCACTGGAGCACTGCTTCTCTGCTCCACGAGCACTACAGCACGGCTTTCACAATGTGAACATGCTGGGTGTGACCTTTGTAATTTCCCACTTGTGTATCTTTCTTCAGGGGATTTCTAGGTCATAGAGAGAGGTTTCATCTGTGGCAGCTGGAGCTGACCACCCTTTGGGGGTACAGTAGATGACATGATTATAATTTCTCCAAACAGTTAAAAGTAACCAAACAGATACTCATTATTTTTCTCTGGTTGCTAGATTAGAAGAGTAGTCCAAGTTGGTGAGGTTTCAGTTTTCTAACCTGGGGCTAGAGCTTGCCATGAAGTTCAGTGAGGTGAAAGCTCCTCACTGCCCTAGAACTCTGCAAATAAACCATTCTCCTGCTGTGGGCAAGGATCCACCAAAGACACGGAGGCTGTTTACAGAGCAGCCTTGTGCTAACCTATAAAAGGAGGAGGCTGGACTAGCATGACATGATGTCCAGCACTATTTCAACACTTGGTAACTGCACATCTATTCCAATCATTTAAGGACTTCTGGTACTGAAGAGTAACAAAGATTACATAAAAATTAAAAAAAAAAAAGAACAGAACTTCAAATAATATTAGGATCATAGAAGTTGACATGGTCAAGAAAGATACCTGCCAAAGTTAAAGGTATTTAACTCATTTTCTAGAAGCACATATGGATGCAGAAACATGAAATTCAGAAAGGTGCAGCTTTTCCCCATGAGCAGTTCTAGGAATTGCTACTACTGAAGACCTTCCCTCTCATCACAATGCCACTGTTTAGAGCTGCATCTGTTTGTTCATCCAGGAAAACGTGTACTTCCATGGATGCACTTCATTTGATTGGCACTCTCTAGCAGAAGATACACTTTGAATTCAGGTTCCAGTATAAAAATAATTAAATTGGAAAATACCTACACCAAAACTGGCATTGAATAAAGAATTATCACACACTAGGTGCAATTTAGCAAATGCTGAAAGTTGCTTCAAATTCCCCAGCATCACGTGCTTTAGCATGTTCTCCTATTGTGCTTCAGAAATACGATATCAATTTTAAAAGTATCCATTTTTTCCCAAGAAGTAAAAGATTTTATAAACCTCAAAATTTTAATGTCCTATGGCAGAATTCTGGTAGCACACTGTGGTAGTAGTTTGCAGTGAAACTTTGGCAGTGCTCCTTTCTTACCTGACCACACACTCGAAGGTTTGAGGGCTCAAGGGACTGCCCCTGACTCACAATCCATAAAGTGAAACAGGCAAGATATTTGAGGCCTCAAAACCCAGCAACCTGACTACAGCTGACTATTCTCTATCCACAGATATTTGGATTCTTGGCAGAGGAGAAGCAATCCAGCTCCTCCTCTGCTGTTGGTGCAACACATCACTGTAATGCTGCCAATAAACATTGGAATTCTCTGTGAAAAGGCAACAACGTATTTTGGTGTAAGAAAAGTCACGGCAACTTTTCAAAGGGTACAGCAGAGGGAGGATAAGGAGAAAATTAATTTCCCTAGTTTATGAAGCCAACCTAGGAGATCCTTGACCCTGAGCTCCAAGATTCATTATTTTATGGAAAGCAATGTAAGAACTAAGCTCCTTTGTACATGTCCTATTCTGACATCTAAACAGTGACACAATTTCCATATGAAAGGGTAATTTAGTCCAGTTGGTCTAATTTCAGTTAACCTTGCTGAGAATAAACTGAAAAAAATCTGGCATATACACTGTGTCCCACAAACTGGAAACAAGGTTGCCACTTGAAATGCAAGATACACTTGGAACTAAATAAAGTTGTTACAGTTTGGCAAAAGCATTTTTGCCAGCTTAAAAAGTCAGGAAAAAAATCTCTATTCAATTAATACAAACATTGGCATATCTCCTCTAATGATGGGAACCTTTCTGTACTACTGAAAGCACAGTTGGTAATAAGGCTTCAGTGACCTCTTTCTTCAAAACAACATGCTAGATGCAAAGCATATTAAGGTGCCTATTCTGCCTTTGTAATAAAAGAAGCTCTTGATATTCATACTTTATGTTAAATACTGGCATGTTGGTACAAATTACAGGCAGTCCTACTGGAGTTTTAGCTAACAGTGCATTATGTTTGTTATTCTGCCCATCTTTCCTCAATGTTATTAGCTGAAAAGAACTACTCATTCACCTTTATTACTGCAGAACATGCATTATATGTATTAGGCATGTGAGAGAAAATAAACTTACTGGCCCTGTGGACACCATTCAACTTAGCAAGCCACAGCTGGCAGAGTTTATGAGGAAAGGCCTAAAGCAAAGTATTTCTCAAGAGTTAAAGATTATCCAGCTTCATGCCTGCCATGGCTTACCAGAAAAAGCCTGACTGCATTTCACAGCATTCATGGAAAGACCATGTTTACAAAAATAAAAGCTTTTCTTTTAGTCTTCTAAATCTGGTAACACCTTCCTTTTACAGCTCCATGGCTGGGCACAGTTTGGTGGAGTAAAAGGAAATCACTGACTGTGTTTTGTAACCCATGGGAGAAGGCAGGAACAAAGTTTGTTATATTATAATTTTTATACTCTGTTCAGTTTAAGTGATTCATTACAAACATTATGAGAGTTAAGGTTATCTGGACAGTTTCTAGTTACTTGGTGGAACAGGAATATTTCTGAAAGGTATTAATGGAGTAAAAGTACAGATCTCTCACTTAATGAAATCCAGAGCAGATTGAGTTTAATCAAGAGTTTTTCTCCAGAATTTCAATTAATTGTGAATTAGTTCAATTTTATTATAATCACTGAAGGGTACCATTTTATGCTATGCTTGTGAATACTCAATGTAATTAATAATTTAAGTTCCTGCATTTGAGAACAACAGTAGATGAATTGTTGTTTAAATGCATCAACCATGAGCTGAATCTTCTGGTACAAAGCCAGCATTTGGCATGCAAATGTTATATAGCCAACAGGGAAGGATTAACCTATTTCTTAGAATCTGGGCTCTTTTCAAACAAAGTGAAATACTGTAATGAAGAGTTATGTATAAGGTCAAGGAGTATTTGAATCTCCATGTCGCATGTCTGCATATAATCTACTGATTTCATATGTAATTGATCTGAAATCCATACTTCCCAAAATTCAGGCCACTTGCAAAATCAGATACAGGAATCATAATCCAAGGGTCTTGTGTTTTCAGCTTTATAACACTGAGGCTGGGTGGCAGAATTAAGAGAATGAAGAGAAGAATGTCCCCTTTACATTGTGCATAGCAAGTCAGAAACATCTTTGGGTAGTCACATGCACTGATTTCATCTGCACAAGGCAAGGACCACTTATGCTTGAAACAAGCTGAGCTACCTTCAAAGCACAGCTTTCATCCACTTAGTGTCTTTCTCATGTTTTTATAAGCTTCAGGATTACAATAAAACCTATTGACCTCAGATTTCTTATAAAAGTGTTTCAATATACAAATCTACCTCATATTAAGTAAAAAAAAGAATGGCAAAAAAATTAATGTTCTAGTCTCATTTCTTTAGGGTTATTTTTAGATGGTTGAGATGGCTGCCTCAAAGAAGTAAATTTAAATAGACTTAACATTTTCATAAACTATATATTTCACTTTCTTTTTTCTTTTTTTTTTTTTTTTTTTTTTTTCACTAGATTTTAAAAAATAGTTTTGATCTGAATTATGGTAGTACTTAGTAGAACTTTTAGAATAAAGTTGTTTTAAAATCCCACAGGAAAGGAACATTTAGAAACAGTGTGAACCAAATTTCTAAATCAGTTAATGTGATGACAAGGGTCATTGCTCAAAGTCACCTTAGTAATCTTATCAGAAGATGCTTTGAACATGAATAAAATACATTTCAAAATCCAAAGATGAAACTACTATTAAAAATTAAATTCATTTTTGAAAAAAAAAAATCTGAGGTGTTAAAAAACTGCAGAGTTTCCTTTAAACACTGCAGTGACATGACTGCTTTTTCAAAAAAACTTCAAAGGCTTTAAATACTTAAGAAACCTCAAAATAGAAAAGGCTGTAATCTCACTTAGCTACTGCAGAAGAGTGAAATTATGTATTAGTCAGGGCTGCAAAGATTAATTTCTTTTAGTCAGTCTAATTTTATATGGCAGTGTTTGACCCTGTCAGCTGATTCTTTTCTCTAAAAAACAAAGGTGTATAAGAAAT